AACCAGGTCAAACTTTCTGGCAACAAAGTTCACTGTTTATGACAGCGAGCCTCCTTTTGATGCTGCAGTTTCTTCAAGCAATCGTTCAAATCGAAGGATTCATTCTAGGCAAGTGTCCTCGAGAGTACCGGCTGGCAATTACAACATTGCTACTATCTCCTATGAGCTGAACATCTTGCGAACCCGAGGGCCACGAAGAATGCAGTGCATGATGCACTCGATCCCCATCTCCTCCATCCAAGAAGGTGGGAGTGTCCCTGCACCCAGCAGTTTCATTCACTCCGTCGATCAACGGCTCTCCAGTTTACCAGTTGTGAAGGGCAAGGAGCCGGTGATAGGTTTTTCTTCCACCAGTCTCAATGAATCAAATGCACCTGTCCAGATCAATGTAGAATCTCTCATTCTAAAGAATAAAGCCCCTCGGTGGCATGAGCAGCTTCAGTGCTGGTGCTTGAACTTTAGAGGATGAGTAACAGTGGCTTCTGTCAAGAACTTTCAGCTTGTGGCAGCTGCAGATCCTTCCTGTCATGTTTCTCCAGCAGAGCAAGAAAAAGTTATTCTTCAGTTTGGTAAAATAGGAAAGGATATTTTCACTATGGATTATCAATATCCACTCTCTGCATTTCAGGCATTTGCAATTTGCTTGACGAGTTTTGACACTAAGCCAGCATGTGAATGAACCAGTGAAGGTACAGAGCTTCTTTATTTGTTTTCTTCTACATATTTAATTCCTTCATTGACATTATATTCTTCATCTAAGTGACTTCGGTGGCAGACTTCTGTCAAGTTCGAGATCTTGGAGGAGGGAGTGCTTGTCTTTACTAAATGTTACTCATCTCACAAAATGCTTGTAAGATGTTTTGTGCTTTCCCATATCAACCACCTTGTCTTGTAACTAATTCTGTCCTCTTTTGGCTGATCAAGGAAGTTGATTCATAAATTTTATATATAGTGTGCCCGCCTCATGTATACATAATCATATTGACGGAAAAAATGATTCTTATATGTTTATTGGTGAAGTAATTAAAGTTGCCATCAAAGTTCATGTATGATCATTTACCAATTCCTTCATGGTATATTCTGGAACATGTGAACACTTAGTCTGTAGATGCCATCTTAGTTGGTCATAATCCTCGTCGAAGGTATACAAAGTCATATTAATGAGAATTTTCATATTTCTCCTGATATCCCTCGAATGATAACAGAGAACTCCTTTGGTGTATCTTGTCAAAGCTTGGATTGATTTCATCTGGTCCTTGTACTTAATAGGCTTAGTTGGTTTGCTGGATAAAATCAAGTGAACTGTGATCTTCTTGGCTGCAAGAGCCCTTATAACATCTTGAGTTATTGGTGGTTTGCACATTGCTGCTAGCACTTGTTTGTGACCAGTGGAACTTCATTACCTGCCTGCTGTGATCTCTCCCTTAGAGTTTCATACTTATATTGTCACTTTCTTCACCTGTCTGCTTATCACTCTTGTTTACTTTCTGAAAGCCTGCATTTTTCAATATCTAGTATCCGATGGACATGGATGGATGCAAGGCATGGTCTCTACCTGCATGTTGTGAGTACCAAGTATGTAGCTTATGGGTCCAATTGATCGGAACCTCAAACTCTTGAAACATGTGGAATATCGGACATCAGCTTTGCATGTGCTTTTCCTCTTAAACCATTCATATGTTCCTGCTTATCAACTGTCGCTTGTCCCAGGTTGGACATGGCTCTGCCTGGAATCAGGGTTTGATTACGATATATTCAGTATTATATTATTGCGAACTCCTCGTTTGAGTTATATGAAGGTTTTGTTTGTTGGTGCGCTTCTGGATCTTCTTTGGCATGGGTCATCTTCACTTTGGCTCCAGCTTTTGCTTCTGATTCTTGGCTGTTAGGATTCATCAAGCCTGTTATGGTTCTTCTTCTTCCAGCATTTGTTGTGATTGTGTCGGTTCTGTGTCATTTTCAGATTCTTCTTCTGCTTGTGGAAATACTGAGTTTATTGTACTTTCTTTGGGTTTTATATATGTTTCTGGTTTTCTTTTAAGTTTTGGGATCCCAGAAAGGTGAGTAATTGCTATTGGTTCTGGAAATATTGTGGTCATCTCTTGCACATTTATTATTATAAATTTCCATGGGATAAAGATGTTTTGCTTGGACTTGTTCTAGTCATAAGATCTGATTTCTGACGCTGTCGGCTTAGGACCTGGTTCCATTTCTTTTGGAGCTCGGGATTAGGGTGTTGGAGATTCCTGTGTCTGGATTGTGGTCAAAGAAGTTGGGGTGTTTCCATAGGCTCCTTGATGGTGTTTGATGAGTCATATTTGGTTATTATGGTTGGGGATCGATCACACCTTTAGATGGAGATGATGCTATTGAAGGTTGTTTGGTCGGGGTTATGGTGGGAGATAGATAGTCTCCATGAAGAAGAAGGGGATGGTTGTAGTTGAGGTATTTTATGTCATCCGTCAACCTGTCGACTTGGATCTCCAATTATAATGTCAACCTATAGCTCCAACTCAACCATTCTTTCTTTGATTATCTGTATTATTGAACGTGTCTTTCAACTTTTGCCTCTTATGCATGAGAAAACACTTGCTCTATGGGAACATCACTACAAATGCCACGAGACTTTGCTATTTTTCGCATGAGTGCTCATTTGATTCTCCGAAATGGTCACACAGTACTGTTGCCCATCTTATATAGTAGTGCTAATTGTTGTTCTACCATCCCAATTCAATGATATCACTTTGTTGCATCCTTAGTAGAGACTGCCTTAAAGACATACAAGGCCCAAGCAATACTCATTTGAAAGCCAAGACCTTTAACTTGATACGATCCATAAATGACCTGCATAAAAAGAAAAAGATTAGAAAGGTGAACGTGCGGGTAATATGTCATCATCACATATGAAAATGACAAAATAACAAGGATCGTAAGCAACATAAAGCAACTAGTATTTATTAGGCACAAAAATACTCTTGAAAACAAACTTAACAAGCACACACAAAGAAAGTTTCTAAGGCAGATGCAACCTCAATATTCACCTAACACTTTTGTCAACCAAAAAATTGGTACACTAAAAACGTTGTATCATCTTTTAGACACATAACCAAGCCCTATCGACCCCGATGCCACCAAGGGTTCTAAAGTGTTGAAATAGCTGACATTTTGCACTGCAAGACCGTCGTCCAAAATTCAACCAGTGGCACATAAGAAGGGAGCTGTTTGGGCTTCCTTCACCTTCTTGCAATGTTGCATAATCTAAAATATTTGAGTTTTACATGACAGAAATATAAAATAAAAACATCGACAACCAACAAAAATAGAGTTGACTATAGTAAATTCTTCCTAGTACATGATGCCTAACAAAAATCACTCGAAAACACTCAAAACCGACAAAAAAAAAAACAAGAATAAAAAAAAGGGTCATAAACCTGCATCGAACACCTTAACAAGGTTACTCCATGACACTTGGCCTAACTACCAACAAGCTTACATGATTCGTGTAAACCCCAAAAAGAAATGTAGCACCTCTATTCATCAAGATGATGATCCGGCCATTTATTCATGTATCAAATGTTTACTACGATCACAATCTATCAACTCCAAGAATACCAAAAAAAGGCTTGCTACCCATTAGCATCCACGCATCCGCATAACAGATGAAGAAATGCATGATCTACAGCTTGTACAAAATGAAATGCCTGTAAATATATAGATATAGTGAAAACAGCTGTTCTTCCTAAGATAAATCTCATCTCGGGCCACATTAATATCAAATTCAATTTTGTTGGATCTTAATTTCGATGACAATACAACTTGATTATTCACCAATAAAGTCTGACATTTAAATTGAAATATTCAAACTATAAGATCCCGCTGCCTCAACTCATATGTACAGGATCTAGATTGATGAATGAAGGTCACTGCAGATATACAAAAAGCAAACAAAGAAGGAAAACTGTCTGCAGAGAATAGATGTATTCACCTAATCATATAAATCATCTTATGCATCTGCATTTTACAATATAGATTTCACTTTTCTTTCTTCTTCTCCAAACATCAATCCATGCAAGATAGACAAATATCTCTGCAACTTTTATTGGTTACATCATCAAAGTGCTCCTCTATTCCAGTCACATCATAAATTCAACGGGAAATCAGTGCTCGAGTAGCATACTTCAACATCCAGCTGAATGTTTTTGCCACATTGTGCTGCGTTCTTTAACCGATCATCTGAATTACCAGAACCTTCAGATCTTCCGAGTATCATTCACGACCTCTTTATCAAAGTTAGCTAATACTTTAATTGATGCACAATAGTCTACCGATGGACAGTCTGCAAAGATGATATCTGCTATGGACCAATCGACTAGTATCTTAGGGTTCTGGAAGTGGAAGGTGCTAAGAAAGAAAATAATAAAGACGAATTGGAGAGGGATAATGCTACATAAACATAGATTAAGTTAAATATATGGGATAAAGCCTTATAAAAGACATTCATGAAAACAATTTATTCCACTTACGGCCATAAAGAACTAGGGAGATTTTGAGTGAATGGTAAGCCATGCAGAGCATCTAGGTTATGCGTTCAATGTTTCCTGTCATTCTTAGACCAGAGGTAACAGGACTTCCAGAATTCTGATGAGAGAGAGAGGTTGACTTGAAGATAGAGGAAAAAAAGGCATGAGAGGAAAAGCAGAGTCAGAGAAAGAAAAGAAAGATGACGAAGTGTCTGTAGAGCGAGGGGGACAATGAAGGAAAGTAAAGAAAAAAAAAAAGGGAGAGACTCGGAGATAGAGATCTTGAAGCGTGAAACAGTTGGTGTGGTTGACACCTGCTATCCCTCTGTTGCTGCCAGTCCATCACAAGTAAGAGGAACTACTGGGATGGGTGAAGGACAGAGGAATAAGGGCTACAACTATCCTCTTGATTTGAGCTAATCTTCAACAATTAAGTGCATTATGTATGTTTTGAACAAGAACAGAAACATTTACGATTGGTTCTTTATTTTGATTTCTACAGTATGCAACTTGTTTCTTCAATCTGGAGAACCCCTAAGGCCTTAAACACCATAAGCATATGACTTTGGTTGATCATAGCTGCAGATTGCACAAATAGAAGCATGCCAATTAAGATCGTATATTATTAGCGAAAGAGATAACCTAAATAACAATTATCCAAGATAAGCCTTCATTAACATATGCAAGATTTCTATGCCAGAGCGAATGTGTCTAAGTAAATAAAATTGTATGAACTGACCTTTAAATATAAATCCACATTTCGCTCCTTAATTCTATCAAGCAATGCTAGCCAATCAATCCTCTTTGGCTGGAGGAACTCCTTCCAGTCCGCCAACAATGGTGGTAGATCATCCCTCTTTGCCTTCAAAGAAAGGATCCTCTCCTCAATCTCCTTACACTTTTCTTCTACAGGCTGCAACTCCTGAGGCACAAAATGGTTCTCAGCCTCCGCCACCTTTATACCAACTCCGCCCATTTGGGGGTCCGACAAATCCAGCCCATAAATCGTGTACTTGAACTTCCCCTTCCTCTGTGGAAAAGCTGCCACTCTTGACGCTCCACCTTTCTCATCCGCCAAAGAGACACTCCTTGCATCAGTTGGAGAGTTTAGAAACGCTCCTTTCTGTCGATCTTCTTGCTTCTGAGCTTGCTCCCGCATCTCATCCAGGCTCCGGCAAAACTCGACCTCATCTAACTATTTCTCTCGCCCGTTTGAACCGAAGTTCTCTCGAAGCAAGGACCCCCGGATGCCGATGTCCCCTGCGAAGCGAATCGGCACATCTCCTTGACCTCATCATCGCAATGGAGGTATTTCTTGAGCTCCTTCCTCATCCGATCCCTTTGCATCGCCTCGTGCACCGAGTTACTCACTTCCACGACAGTCTTCCACAGTTCCTGGCTGAGATCCACAGGGGGTCCTCGGCGTCAGCGCCAGGCTCCATCGAGGCGACAACTTTCTGGCAAACGACGAGAAGCATGACGTCGAGGGTATGTCTCGGGAGGGCCCGGTAGCCGCCGGCGAGCTAGGGATGCATGGCCGACACGAAACGGGAAAGGAAATCGTTCATGGGGCCGTCCTGGTCGTCGCCTCCATGGGCTTGAGTTTCTGCCGGAGGGATCGACGGGAGAACTCGCGAGGGGCTTGGTTGGGCAAGAGTGACGCTTGGGGGGGGGGGGGTATCGGAGATAGGCCATGGAGGAATCGAACTGGAGGCGAAGGGAAAGGAGGAAGAGGGCATTGGGGAGTGGAGATCGAGGCAATTTGGAGGAGAAGGAAGCGATGGTGTCGCTCGGAGAGATGGTATGATGGTGGAGTCATGATACGACGGAGATTGGCCCTAGAAAACGAAATCCCTTTTTTCTCCCCGCGTGATCCGACGGAGAAGATGAAAAATGCCTCGCGTGCCGACTGAACACACGACTTTGGAAGCGACACGAGATGGGCATCCACTGATCTCCAAACACGCAACTTTAGAGCCAAGGAAAATAATTAATTAATTAGTTTCGTTCGATCAAGAATATATGTTAATTAATCAGTTTTCACTTATGGTCCGTCTTGCGTAGGAATAATAACACTACGATGCCGTTTATTACAGTATGTTACAACAAATTCACGTTAGTTAGTTAGTTAGTTAGTTAGTTAGTTAGTTAGTTATATATATATATATATATATATATATATATATATATATATATATATAGAGTAGTCATGGCATTGTCTAATGTGGTCAACTTAGCTGCCAGGATTGTAACCATGAGTTGGAAATCATTGGGAGGTTGCTCGAATGTGTCATTAACTTCACAATGCTGGGGGCGTTGGTGTCACCACATTTATCGTATGATTGTTTTGGGCTCAGATGTTTATATGTAATGGCTTCAGACAAAAAACACACTTGTCTTTAAATCTCCTCTTGGTATTCGGCGCAACCTTCAGGTTGACGAGATTGCTTCTTGGCGTTGGTCGTTAGCACAACTAGCTGAAACCCGCATTGATATTTCTTCACTAGTGCACATTATACGAACATTTCCATGTACCATCAAACTGGTAATGCCATGCATGGTTAGTCTCTCGGAGAAGGTTTTCATGTATGAATGATCAGAAACACCTATGACACGCCACCACCAACAACCCCATCAATGCAGCGACCACAATTACATGTACTTACTTCTTTCAGATGGTAGATTGATGTACAAAAATCACCCACGCCCTGCTATTTCTTATATGCTGAACGAGTTAATTTGCTCCTTTGACTCGTATCATATATGTCGCCATTACAAGTCCAAACTGGATGACCTCATGAGAAAGGTGGTGGTACAAAAATCGCTCGAAACCTCGTGCTCAAGCTTCTTCCCATGGAAATGAGTACACACACTCAATCACTTCCCCCATATGTGGCTGCCGACCAAACTCCTTGCTCCGTTGTTGTCATGTATGATGTGCAGGCCAAGGGCACCAGGCAAAGCCCTCGACTCCTCAGATCTCGCTTTGCCTCCTCATTCGATGCCTAGGAAGAGGGGTGGGCAATTAAGTTGAGCGGATGGAATGGAAGTGCGTGTCTTTAAAGCTTACTTAATCGAAGAGAATGCATGGATGGCTAAATGTATGGTTTTTCTTACAGAATCGACCTTGTGTACAGAAACATGACATGACATGACATGAGCCTCTGACTAGTATACTCCACCTCTACAGACGTTATTATTATTGACCTACAGTTGTTGATGTCATGGGGAAGACGGCTACATACCTCTTGCGTTGTCCTTGATCTTTTTTTGCTGCCGGATGACCTCATGTACGGCACACTTAGCTTCTGCAAGATACCATCATGGAAGAGCAATATATCGTCATTAGTCACGCGATTGCGATGCTTCTCATCACAGCAGACGTATACCAGTCAATGAAAAATGGCCACAGCAGACGTGTATGTCCAAACGAGAATAGGTTTGTGTTTTATCTTATACTGATGCTGATTACCTCGACCTGGTCCAATAGGAATTTAATGTATCCGATGGCCTCCATGAGCACTGAAGCCGTGTCAGTCTGCACATCGTAAACCATGCATGACATCAAGTTATAATAAATTAAGGACAAAGGTAATGTAAAAATTAACTAGTGTATGGATAATGAATGCATCATGTACATTATCAATCGTCGTCTACCATTTTGATTTTAGATGTACCGTTTTATGCGGTGCTGAATAATGCCTGATTAAAGTTTTCTTCTTCTTTTAGAGAAGCGAAGCACTCATAATGTTTAGAGCAGGTAGGTCGGTCGGTAGGTAGGTTTTGATACCTTGCCGAATGGTGCCACCAGCTGCTGCAGTGCTGCAATCCTATCCCCCAGCTTCTCCTTCCTCACCTTTTGTTTCATTTTATTTTTGGGCCATCACCACGTCAACCAACACAATGGATCAAAATACCAATGAAGCAACCGCGACTATATATATGTGGCCAGTGCTCCAAAACATATATACCTTGAACGGAGAGCAGGAAGAGCGCTGCTGCTGGAACCGAGGGTTTCCGGGTGCTGCTTGACATGATTTGTGCTCCCAACTGCTGTTGCATCTCCTCGCTTCTGTTCCTCCGCTGACCAGAGATGGCATCTTCAGAGGAGCGTCCAGTTACACGGATATTAGCTTTGTGGATGTGTTTAGAACCCTAAAGAAAAGCACGTCAAGTTTTTCTTTCTTCTTCTCTGTGCAGTCTTTTGCTTCAGAAAAGAAAAGACGATTCGTGTCGCTCGATAAAGCTGAAAAGTGTTATGTACTCTATGACATCAACGTAGGTTCTCTGAAATTAACACACAGCCCTCAGCCCTACTAATGTCGTTGTCATCGTATGCTGTGACGCTCATGGGAATTTAATTACTACCCATTTATACATATATATATATATATATATATGATATATATATATATATATATATCATATATATATATTATTT